GGCGAGGCCCCCCCCCCCCCCCCCCCAAAGTTTACCGGTAGGCACAAGCGGGAAAAACACAACAGATGGGGACATTCGATGGACAGGATCAGAGCAAAAGAGAAGCGCCCGCGGGTGGATCTAGGACGCGAATCCACACGCGTATAGATAACACTTTTGCTGTCATGGGGAGCTGACACAAATTGCCGTTGTTTTTGTACTTGTGTCTGTCTGCCCATCTGCCGCCTCTTTGTCCTGTTTACTCCGTTACTCCCATGCCCTGGTGCGCAGTGCCTGGTGCTGGTACGTTACCCTTTGATTTTTTCTTTGGGCGGGTGTGGGAAGCGTCCTCCTTTATGTTTTTCTTTTATTGGATCGGTTTCCGACGGCTCTTTTCTCGAACGGTCGGTGCGATACCTGTTCTTTTCTTTCTATCATTTTGTTTTCTTTTTCCGAGTTGGTTGTACCCTATTTTTGTTTTGTTTCCCCGCGGCGTCGTATGTGCCGGGTTTTGAGACCACGGGCTCCCCATTTTTTGTGGACTAGAGAGCTAATATGAGAAACAACAACAACAACAAGGAAATAGTTCATGCAACTCAAGTACACGACGGCACCCATCGATCCTCTCCGGTCCTCTCAAATTGAAAAACACCAAATGGACAAACAAGAAACAAAAGGTCATCGAAAAGGATCCAAGTCAACGATCTTTTTGAATGGTGTGCTGTCACTGCTGTCTACCTTCACGATCAATGAACGTAGCTAGTGCGCCAGGGAGATGAAGCGGCCGTCCCCTCGGAACGAAAAAAAAAATAGGAATTGGCACCAAACATGCTCACAATGGGTCCTTCTATAACAAGAATTACATTAAAAAAAGAAACGCGCTGGAATTCTCTCGGAAAGGAGAGACGCTCGACCCTCAGAGAAACTTCGAAAAGGCCCCCGTAAAAAAAACGCCTCACACTTTGATGCAATGACAACATGCCTCAAAGCTTGCCCGAAATCAGAAATTATGGAGCGGTCGCCTTTTCCCAGCAACTCAGTGCTACGGAAAAAAAAAAAACACACACACACACACACAACGAAAAGCGAAACGCAACAAAGGACGAAACGCAACCAAGCCCGCAATACTACTGCCGTACACATATACCTGAAAATATGAAGCGGTCGTCCCTTGGTCTGATCTTCACAACCGGGTCATCTTCTGGCCGCGCCTTGTACGTCTTGGCCAGGTACACGCAGTCGTCGCAGTACTGTAACAAACGAGAAAACCCCCGGAAAAAAAAAAAGACACACAGATAGGGGGGGAGGGGGGGGGGGG